TCCCATGCCCGGGCGTATCTCAGGATTCCAACTTGACTCATGTAGTCAAGCTCCAGAAGCAGACCTAGCCAGTCGCCAAAGAGACAGTGGGGATCGTAGGATGCCTACGCCGCAAGTCTGCATCGACGCGAGGTGTCTAAAACAGTTCGTTGGGGGGTTGGAAGCTGCGTTCGAATGTTACCTTGGATGTGCATTGACAGGGTTCTTTACTTCCTGGTCTCCTCTTAACACCCCTCCCCATCCTCTCCTTGCAAAATATAGATTGCTAGCCGATAGTACCTAGGTACTATTGAGGCTCAACAATCGCACTCTATCAGTGGAAGAGATGCCTAGGTAGCAGAGCACGAATCGAAGGAATGGTGTTTTTGCGCGCGCGGTACAGCAGCTCGCCTGTCGACAGACACGGAATCTCATTATCAAATGGCGTTAGTAGCTGCAGCTCGCAGCTCTTTGTCTTCTTCGGATCTGAGGCGGCGTAAAAGAAGCATTGCCGTGCGGGTGGGGAAACAGCAACGGCACGGGCCTGACCCTCCCGAGGTCTTGATGGAAATTAGCCCGGGCCTTTAACCTCATTGGGGTCTTGGCGCAGTATTACCGCTAACCGCTCTTCGCCGTCGCTTCAATCATCACTCCACCTCCCTTCCGGGCTTCGCGCTCGAGCTTCATTCATCACTTCTCGCATCGCAAGGAATTAAGGATGTGTACATGAACAGGTTTGGAGTCTACATCGATGTCTGGTCGCCTACTTCGCATGTTCTCACTCATGGATATTAATGGAGGCTGCAGACCTGTTCAATCTTTTCCCACGTTGACGGTACTCTACTGCTTTCATCAACCTCGCTTCAGGCCGTGCGCGGCGGCGGGCACCCAGCCGATCGGTTCCTGTGGACGCACACCCAAGTCACACTCGAGCGATGCGACCTGCCTTTCGCCATCACGCCCACCCTGGTAGGCCGCGTAAGTGGGCATCTATGGCCTTACTGAGACCTTTGCATCGTCCATGATACCTAGGTACTCTTGTGCAAGCCATACAGTAAGTTTGCTTTGAGTAGCATCATATACTTTACGCCTCGGCTAATTGACCTCTGACAGCTATCATTCAGTATAAAGGAAGGAACAGAGATGAGGCCTCGAGGGATTATCTCGCAGGCGACACCGCCTACCGCCATGTCCCTTGTAAGTCTCTCTGACGTGATCATCGAAGTCGGCACGGGCTCTGAGCAATATCATTCCTACTGCGCCTCATAGTCGCGTATGAGATGAGGCTCCTAAGAGCGGCGGCGACTCTCTTATCATAGGCACCTGTTTTATGCGAGCAGGGTACTGCCCGCCAACTCCTATGTTGGCTATCAGCGAGAAGGATTTTGCTGCTGCCGTGCATGCACGAATGAACGCCTGAATGAACGAACCCAGTGAGCTGGTCGTGGAGAAGGACATTTAGTATGAGTGATCTTAGACGTCAGCGTTTCTGTCGTGCCAACTCCAACACTGCTTCGTCGCTCTATCATGGCTGGCACTATTCAACCCATAGCCGCACTCACGGCCGAAGACCATGGCCCGATCAACACGATTGTCTCCATCGTTCTTCCAGTTACAAGTATCCTCATCGCAACTGTCCGCATGGCAATGCGGCGGCAAAAGTTCCATCAGCTCGAGTCTGATGACATCGTGTTTGGTGCAGGACTTGTAAGAATTCATGTCTCAACTTCCTGTACTCACTTTGCTAATCAAGCTCAGTGTTTTGGTGTCTTCACGTCCATCCTGTCTCACTTCTGCGTCCGAGCAGGCCTGGGCAGACACCAGGATACGCTTGATGACAAGCAAATGGCTCATTACTTCAAGGTAAACAATTGTATTAGGGGCTGCGGACTTTACTAAACACATACTTATAGCTTTTTTGGACCGCACAAATCTCGGGCGTCATTGCTCTCGCTCTCGCTAAGCTATCGCTCGTTGTTCTGTTCCAACGCATCGCTCCAAAACAAGTCGGGCCTCAAGCTACCAGATGGCTTATACCTATGGTCGCTGTCTACACACTACTCTCTCTCTTTCTGATCGCCTTCCAATGCCAGCTACCACAACCTTGGATACTTAGTCCGAAGACTTGCTCTACACATGGCAACGTGTACTATCCGATCACGATCTTTAACATATTAAGCGACACTGTGCTTGCTTTCTGGATCTTCCCACTTATCCGGGGTGTTCAAATGAAATCCCATACCAAATCCATTGTATTTTGGCTGTTCGGATCGCGTTTACTCATTTGCGTCGTGGATATTGGACGAATGGTAGTCATTCACAAAGCTCTTCAGCTAGAGGATCAAACACGTAAGGAGCCATGTTCTCATCAGAGCATATCGCTAATCACATCCCAGGATCGCAATTGAAATGGGCCGTAATGGATCAAATCGTTGTTCACCTTTCGATCAATCACGCTACACTACCTCGTATCCAGACCTTCCTCTCGCATCTACAAATCGGCGGTATGAGCACGCATATGGGAGCAAGTCGGGGTGGTATACGGACGACGTCCAAGGGTAGAAGCAGCGCCGCCAAAACCACTCAGGACGACTTGAAAGTGGGGCGGACCTCCGATAAAGCTTGGAACTCATTATGCAACCGTTTTACCGGGAGTGTCAACAGAACGCCTAGCATCTCTGAAGAGCCTCTTCGTCATCAGCACGGCATTGAGCTATCCACAATCGTATACTCCGGGAAGGACGACGCTACACACAGGAATATGGAGCAGAGTCGATCAGCAGCGACATCATTATCGAGCTCTAGGGAGGGCTTGACTAGAGAAGACATCGCAGGCTCGCTAGGGGGTGTGAGGGTGCAAAAGGAGTTTCATGTGGTTTATGACCAAATGTGATACGCAGCCTGAGTGACGCGTTTCAAAAGGCTCTCGCATCATATGCATTTATCAAAATATCACGATTTCTCCGTCCGCTTCATGACCAAAAGAAACGACCAATAGCGATGATCTCGCAAGCGACACTTCAAGTATGATTCGAGATGGCCTATCTAGGGTTTTGCGCAGCGGAGACATTATACTCGCGACGACCAAACAGGAACGTACGTCCCCTTCCATCCAGTCCACATCTTCGCCTCATCCGCACCAGCTACGGGCTCTGCAATCTCTACAAGATTTGCATCGAGTACATCCCGACAGTCAATTTGCTCCGCATTCCTAGCCCAATCAATGGGCTTCTCTCCACCCCTGTCAAGCGCATCTTTGTTCGCCCCATAATGGAGCAGCAGCTTGACACAGTCCACATAGCCTTCTGCTGAAGCAGTATGCAGTGGACTAACATTGTCAAAATCGCACTTGTTGACGTCCGCACCCGCTTCTAATAATGCGCGAATGACCGACAGTTGGTCACGACACACAGCTCCATGCAGCGCGGTACCTCCGTATCGACTTCCTGGGACGTTCAAGTCTCCCCCTTGGTGGATAATATGCTGACAGACGTGGAGTAACCCGAAAGATGCTGCATAGTACAAAGCGGTTGCATGCTTTGGATACGAAGACCAACTGCTGCCAGCCGAGGAAGACCCGGCGTTCAAAGTTTGGATCCAGGACATGAACGCTTCGTGATTGGACGGAGAAAAGAACGCAAGAACCTTCTCGTCATGTTGAATTGACGCCTTTTCTGGAGTTTCAGCTGCCCGTAGATAGTATGTCCAGGATGTGGTCGCATGGCGTAGGAAAGGGTAGTTTGCCAAGCGTGCAGCGAATTCGTCCTTAGATGTTGAAGGGCCGCTCTGGAAGCTCCGGAAAGAGAGATAGGATAGGCAGTCTAACGCAAGTTCGCGATAGCTTGCTGTTCGATTTAGCGCAAAGGCTGCCGCGGGGCCGTTCCGAATGTCTTCTGAAAGCAGATAGTCTTTCACAGAAAGGTGAGCGAGACGGACATGGCCTGGCCCATTCGTTGAGACTGTGATCAGACTGCCACAAACAGCAATTATTTCTTCTGCGCTGCTTAGGCACGAGTCTTCATCCAGCTCTTCGCAGTCATGTTCAATAGCGATAGCAGAGTGAAGCTCCTCTAGTGTGACTGGCAACACCGTGAAGGAGAGCCAGAGTAGAACTTTGCGAACGATGGGTGTATCAGCGGCGGAGACTCTCATTAATATGCTTTCGTAAATCTGTCCGAGCTCCTGTGGGAGGTGCTGGAGAGTGGTCCGGATATCGCGGACGGTACGAAGGGCAGATACTTGATCAAGACTGCACTGAACCAATCGAAACCTGTATTGTTACTTTCATGTGACGCAAGTTCATGAAAGAGGCACTTACATTCCACAAGATCTTTCATGTAAACATACACTAATCTCATCCCTCACAGACGGTTTCAGCCGTAACAAACTTCGATCAGTTTGTAGTCTGTAGTCGATATACGTTTTGATGTCTTCATCGACCTCTCTTGTCCAGCCTTCCATCTGAATGAGCTCGAATGAAGCCAGTGCATCCTGGATATCGAGCTCATGCCGACTGGTAAGGAAGATGCTGATATTTTCTCCCAGGTTCTGGAGGTAAGCCATGGATGACAGTAACTCCTTCCGCTGAACGCATTCGTCAATCGCATCGACTAGTAAGATGATTCTTCTCGATGCGGAAAGTAAACATAGCATATCTTTCAGCAAGGCGATGGATGGCCGTTTGTTCGAATGGCGACTATGGTCAAAAGCAGCTTCTAACTCGTCATAGCTGGCTCCGGTTTGGGAACATATCTGCGCGACCAAAGACCCTAGAATATTAATGGGGTCATGTGCTTCGGCCTTGCGGAAGTCGCAATAGAAGAACGCTGCCAACGTGGGTTGCGGCAAAGAAGGCAGTAAACTCTCGAGAGACTGGATGACATTTGCGCTTCGGTCAAGTTAGTTGTTGCATACTCGAGAGTTCAACACATACTCACAAGAGGATAGTTTTGCCAGACCCAGCTAAGCGAAAATGTCAGCACGGCCACTTCTGATGTCACAATGTTACATACGAAAGCCGCTCAGCCATAGTCCAGCGTTGCCAGAGACAGCCCAGGCTTGAAACACCTTCGACTCGATGAACCAGCCGCCTGTTCCAGATTTCCTTGCGGAAGCGGCTGCTTCATGGCTCTCCCAAGGCGTCCCTGGAGCCAGCCAATGTGTAAGAGCTCGGGATCGATCATCTGTGCGCATCAGCAGCTGCAAGTTGGACGTTGTAAAGAGACATACCTAGTTCTGCGCTCTCTATCCTAGTGAGGAGCTTGGAAACATTGCCATGCACATGGGCCGTGGTCTCGTTCAGAGAGATGGTCATCTTCCTGATGTCAAGGAGCAGAGCTCTACAAGGCTTGATGAGCTGAGAGTGAGATGAGTGATGAAGTGGGGGCAGCCTACGTCTCATCTGCGGTCAACGCCAGAAGTATAGTGCTTTTGCACCGCTCTATTCTTTCTAGACAAACTTTCGCGTCACCTTCTTTCAGCTGCCAGCCCATAACCTGGGCGAACACTCGCGCTTTCGCCAACAGAGTTGACCTTCCAGGAGTCTGCTTGCCGGAGTTGATCTTCTTCTCTAGATCCAATAGCTCCTGCAGGCAGCGACTTAACGGGCTGGTCTCGGACTCGCATAGTAGTTGGAATGTGCGGAAACGTGCTGTGTCGGACTCTTTTGATGTGTCGAGCGCGCGGCAGACCTGTTCTAAGCTCTCCAACACATTTCGAAGGTCTCTTATCTCGTCGATGGTTCTGGTGAGGGACCAAGGACTCTGCTTGAGCGCTGAACGGACTTCGTAGCATATTGTTATAACGGAGTTGGCGACCTGCAATACCGTGATCACGTTTGCTGTAACGCTGAGAGGGTCCATAGTCGTTCAATGGCAATGCTTTGCTCAGCGACGATCACGGAAGACCTATATGAGCTCGGTGGCGTTGCACCTGTTGTGGCGCAGTCCAACAACGTGATAACGTCCAGGCTGAGCGAGGCATAATATCAGAAAGACACTCTCTTGCCATAGACACCAAGGCTGAAAGAGCCTTAGGCTGCAGCACTTGCATCGCCGACACTGCCAACGCGCCAGGCGCGCGTAGTGGAGTATGCATGGGACAGCCGTTCCGCCATCGAGTGCACACCGATCAGCGATCGAATGTCGAACATACTTCGAAGCTTGTATGACATCGCGCATCGTTTGCGCGGGCTGGTGGATGCGCCATCAAGCGCGCAATAGTCGAAACGGGCAGAAAGTGTCGGTGGACTGCCCGCGCGGCGCGAAGACGACGCGAAAGAAGCCGGAGCGCACGATGCAGATCGCAATTACCCACATCTGCGGGGGCCATTCCGCATCCACCCACCTACTTATCGCGAACAGACACACATTGCAAAGGCGAACATGTCAACTGCACCCACTTCGTACTGTCTATGGATACATCTCCACCCAGCTAATCTTTTGAGACCTGCTCTCATACCTGGTCTCGCTCACATGCCTAGGTACTTTGCCGCCAAGGCTGAAAAATCGCAATTATCTTCCCAGCTACCGCCTGCATGGCTGAAAGGTTGCATTGCCCAGGCGGTTTCGATAAGCCTCTTGGAGCGGAACGGGCCTGATAAATCCAGGATCAACGCCACCTGGGCATGGATTCATCAGCTGGCTCAGCTCGATATGACCTCGGAAAGAGGAAAGCTCTGGTGATCATGCCGTCACATGCATGACTTTTATCCATCACCCACAGACCGGCAGATACTCGAGAGCAGATCAGACTTTATAGCTGCGTGCGCGCAGAGCCAAAACATGTAAAGTCACGACCGGAATCATGTCATGGACATGCGCAGAGCCTGGAAAGTATCCAGCTAGATTGTGGACAGGTAATCAGTCAGGACTTGGTAGCAACTTTGACTTTCGCTGAGCAGAATACATCCGACGCGAGTATGCAGCAACTGTACGGTCACCCTCGTCTGGTGAAGCGAGGGATGGGGGAGCTGCAACGATGTCCAATCAGCTCCACACCACCGTCCCGTGTGCCTCCCCCTCTGGCAAGCTTGCCAAATGCATAATATCTGTTGAGATCCTGCTCCGCTCTTGGTACCTGGCATGACCTAGATCCACATCTTTTGCACGAGCAAGTACGCAGTCTCTGAGAATGACACCGCCTAACAAAAGAGTCCATGATGGCGGTAAAACGAACAGCAATAGGAAAGCACACAAGCGTTCCAAGCTGGATAACGATTCTCAAGACCATGTGGACACGATGGCGGGCGCGGACGAACAAGACAATGAAACAGCTTATCAGGTGAGCTGACTTCGCCTTTATATCGCTAGTTCTTGGTGTCTCATCGATATCTGACCGCTCTAGACTCCAAACAAAGCGTCAGACTCCCGCGAACCACGCGATACGCACCAACGACCAGGACTGAATCGCCATGACTCACGATTATCGGCTATCTTTGCTCCGAAAGCGTCCGGCATCGGTGAAGCAAAAGCCTCCTCTCCACCACAAAAGGTCGGGACCTCTTTGCCAAAATTGACGAGGTATCAGAGGATTCAGCCAACTGCAGTCAAGAGCAAAGAGAACCAAGGTATTAGAAACCCTGCTGGTAGTGAGAAGCCCACTAAGACGAAGTCGCGAATGTTGAACGCCCTCAAAAAGCTCGAAGACACATACGAATACTCATCCATTGGGTCTAAGCAGGTCCGCTTGCTTATCGTCAAGCCAGGACAAGAAGATGACGACATCAACGCAATCCTACAGGTCGTTGATGAAGATCAACTTGGGAACGATGATTATTGCTACGAAGCCCTTTCGTATCACTGGGGCGAAGGCGAGGACTTGCACAGCATCATCATCAACGACGAATGGGCCACGGAGCCCATTAAGAATTTCACGGCCGCGGTACTGAGTGCACAGAAAAAGCTTTATGCAAAGCGTCATTATGTGCGACCAAATCTGTATAGTGCTCTGAAACGGCTGAGAGCACAGGATAGGCATGTGGCGTTGTGGGTAGATGCACTCTGCATCAACCAGGAAAACGATGCTGAGAAGACGGTTCAGGTTATGAAGATGAATCAGATATACCAAAAAGCATACAGCGTCTGCATCTGGCTAGGTCTGGACGATCCGGACTTCCATTCGAGTAAAGCGATGACTTTTATCAAAGATGTGGTCGACCTGAACAAGCTGAACAATATCCTCACAGACGATCGTTACATCCCGCAATGGGCGAGTCTGTTCCAATTGCTCAAGTAGAGCTGGTTCTCGCGACGTTGGGTCATCCAGGAACTAGCATTAGCTCAGCAAGCTACCGTTCACTGCGGTCAATCTGAAGTTCATTGGAACGATTTCAGGGACGCCATCGGAATTTTCCATCGCTACTTTAAGTCACTGCAACCAAGGATACAAAACCCTAGACTCGGCGGCAGTCCGATATCTGATCTAGAACCTCTTGGAGCCAAACTACTTGTGGAGATGACGAGTAACCTATTTCGAACCAAATCGAACGGCGCTTCTGAATCAACCATGAGCTTGGAAAAGCTGGTGTGTCAGCTATCCACTTTCAGTACATCCGATCCGCGCGACACTATCAACTGTTTGCGCAACCTTTCTAAGGAGCTTAATGTAATAAAAACGAGGAGCTCGAGCTCACCTGCGCGTACACATAGACAGCCGCCAGAACCTAATTACAAGCAAGACCTCTTCGAAGTCTATCGCGATTTCGTTGAATGGGTGGTAGAGGAATCTAAATCTCTGGACATCATCTGCCGTCATTGGGCTTTGAAAGAAAAGGAGAAGCTAGACATCGGCCCCACAGCTGCACCACGGCTTGTAACACTGCCGTCTTGGATTCTTACTGCAGAAGATGGGTCTTATGGAGCGGGCGAGGCAGTATTCAGGGGCCGCAAAGCTGGTGACAGCCTTGTAGGCCTTCCTGGGGAGGCGGTGTACAACGCTTCTGGGCGCAGTGTTCCGATCGTTCAATTCGGGGACGGCGATGCTCGAGAGTGGTCACCAAGTCCCAAGTCAGGTCCACGGCTCTCCGTCTACCCACAAGACGATTCGTTGACAGTATCTGGCTATCTTATCGGGAGAGTGAATTGGAGCTCACCTCCGATACGATCCGGCCTTATTCCGCAACGAGGGCTGGAAAAGCTGAGGTGGACTTACCGAGATGCGTCGGCAAATAAGCCAGCGCCCGATCAACTCCGCCGTACTTTGGTAGCCGGTCGTGGACCCAACGGCTCAGACGTACCGACATATTACTCTCGAGCTTGCAACTACTGCCTACTTAACGAGACTCCTAACGGCGATATCGATACAACCGACCTGTTGCGCGCAGATGAATCTGTATCACCCCAGAGCATTGTCAAAGACTACTTGGAGCGTGTCCGAGCGGTGACCTCCAACAGGGTAATTCTTCAAGGGAGGTCGACTATCCCAGCCGGCTCGCCACCTTCGCACTCAATCCCGACATCACCAGTTTCACCAACTTCGGTGAGAACTTCCGAGGATCTCGTAGGGCTCGGCCCGTTAGACACCACAAAGGACGATGTCATTGCGATCTTGTATGGGTGCAGCGTACCTGTCATTCTTCGTCCGTCAGGTAGCTATAATCGACCACAGGGTTACAGATTTCTTGGCGAAGCCTACATCGATGGTAAAATGGATGCGGAGTGCATGTCGGAAGGGCATGAGTTGATGGAATTTGTGTTGCGCTGAAGGCAACCATGCCACTCTCCCAGGCGCGCTTGCAAGAGCCAAGAACATATTGTCACTTTCATACTGCAATTCACGTAGTATTCCAACCGCAGCATAGGATCAAACCTGCGGTATAATTCTCTAGTTCATATTGTTCTCCTTCTCCCATTTCACCACATCCAAGACTACCTCTTTGATGGTGTCATGGCCACTCTTCCACTGGCTTCCAAAGACAGCCTCCGACTTCGAAGTGTCAATCTTCGCAAATTTTTCCGGTCCCCTTCGCTCGCGACTAGGCTGAAGTGCAGGAATGCGCTTGGCCAACTCGGGAGATTCGGCACGGAGATCGACTGCAATTGCTCGCAAGTCGATGATCTCAGGCGAAACTAACAGATAGCGTTCGTTGCCAGGGACTTTGTTCCGATCAAGGGCGGTGACGTGGGATTCGGCCACGTCGTCAGTGTTTCTGGGGCCTTGTCAGCAAATTGCGAAGCGAGTACTAGTTGAGTGTACTAGAGCTCCGCAAGGGCAGACCAAACCGGCTGGCTGACTCCCGGAACTCAGGGACCTGGAAAGACACTCACAGCACGAAGGGAAGGATGTTGTCCACACCCTGAACGTCATCTCCAGCCAACAGCGCGGTATACACAGCAGAGTTGCCTCCCGGACCATTCGCGATAGGCTTGTATCCTGGTTGTGGGCTTCGTCCCGCGATCAAGGGCGGCAGTAGCATCACCACATCGAAGTCTGGTCGATTCGTTTCCACCCATGACCATGTCTTGTGCTCCGCGTCGGTCTTTGCAAATACATACGCAGACAGGGGGTCGTTCTTGGCCTCCTCGAAAGTGATGGGGTTGAAGTTCTTCTCCGAAATGACGATGTTGGGATTGAAGAAATCGGGCAGAAGCACGGTTTGCACAATCGATCCGCAGATGACAACTCTCTTGACGGTTTTGCTCTTCTTAGCCGCTTCCAGAATGTTCTCGTCAATGGTCCACGTCGGCTCGATCATCTCTTTTACGAGGTCACTTCCAGGGCCTGCAAGGGGAGTTGCGAGATGTACGATGGCTGTCGCGGATGAAGAAGGCCCATCAAAGGCTCCAGCAACAGTCATGTCTGGGATGACGGTGAACGTAAGTAGACCGGACTTGACGGCGTCGGCAAATTTGGACTCGAAGAACGCGACAGCGGATGTCTTTCGAATGACTATGTTGACTTTGTGGTTTGCACGGATCAAGTGCTCAAGGGTGATTGCACCGACATTGCCGGTAGCACCGGTAAGAAGGACGGATTCTTGAGCCATGGCTTCTGACACTTCAATGTTAGCACCTGAAGCTGCCAAAGCTTCAAAGAGATTTTCTTACCGTGAAATCGGTCGGATGAGTTGAAAAGGATAGTAGAAGAGGTTCAAGACTAGTTGCTGATCTCGGTGACGTTCCTGTCTGGATGGAACTGGGAGTACAGGATCTGATATTTAAGTAACACACATGGTGGAGTAGTTGTCTTACAACCCACAACTGCCCTCTTTCAATCACATTCGTACGAGGCTCGATGTTTGCAGCACATTACTTAGCAAGATCAGTAACCACCGTTGTTGACTTACCAACCCACCAACGTACACACCCAAAGTCCCTCGCGAAAAGACGTCAAGTTCGAGCGCGAGCCCACGAGAAGATCACACAAGCAAGATCAGTAAACATGATACCACGGACCGAAAGCCGAGGCTAACCCAATTAGTCTATCCAGCTCCTCGCTTAGCTACCGTGCCAAAAGGGCCAATGCCTCGGACCAGAGATCTAGTACAGCGAATATAACAAACTGTATCTCTAGCACGTGCAGTCGCATGGAAAATCCGCTTGTTGCACTTACAGAGGTAACTCGCAAGGCTGACACGTCGTATTGCGCCCTCTGACGTCACACACATCCATTGACATCTCGGAAGGTAGATCAGAGTTCAGAACGCATCTCGTCTGTGGCCAGTGGTGAAGCATGCATATGCTACCGAAGGAGACACCCCACTTTGCCTGCGACAACAGAGAAAGGTAAACCTATACACATGAGAGTGTCATGTTGGTGAGTGCGCTGGTACTGGTGACACGGAGTTAACGTCAATCCTCCTTTCATTCCCACGCAATGGCAGCGACCGGTGAGGATAGCAGTACAGTAAGCACGGGGATATATTCAGAAGATGAGGCTGAGTAGAGCATTGGCGTTGCAGGATAGGCACTCTACCTAGGTCCCTAGGCAGACCACAGCTGGGCATGAACCAAGATGCGGCCCGCTCGCTTCCGCTCGGCCCCCACGACCCAACACGCGGTGAATGCTCGAGATGCATTTCCCTACCTGGCGAATGTCTGGCGCGGCGGGGGCGCAGTTCGAGCGGGAACTGGAAAGTGTGGCGGTGTTTCTGGTCCGAGATAAGATCATAAGTAGGCAGGTAACAATTAAAACCCCATGCGCGTTCAGATGCTTTGCGATACCATCTCAATGCGACATTAGATTCACTATTCACATGCCATGTATGCATCTCGATATAGGGAAGACCGATCAAGTGTGGATGTCGGTCCTCGGGGGATCCAGCTATTCGAAAGGTGCGAGTTAGGCGCGTGGCTATGACGTCATTGTAACCTCGCAATTGCCGCTAACCAGCGTAGGGAGCCTACGGACGAGCAAAACAGCGACTACGGCATTGATGCTATCCATGAATCACGTACTGGTTCAACTAAACCGGAGAGCTTTGCCACGAGCAATGGAAACGAATCGCACGACGACGACTTCTTGCTTTTAACACGATCCGCGGTGTTTCAGCCTCGGCGGCTGTCCAGGCGACCATTTCTGACAGGATGGCGACCCGGAGCAGTCTTGTCGCTCGTAGGAGCGACAACAATCACCATATTCAACCTCGTCGTCACGATATGGGTATGGAAGAACCCTGAAAACATCATTGAAGGAACCATCGGAACATTGAGCATTGGTAACTGCGGACGGACAAGAAGATTAAACGTCAGAATTCATCTACTCGTTAACATCCTCAGCACACTACTGTTATGCGCAAGCAACTATTGCATGCAGGTCCTCAGCGCCCCCAATAGGGTAGAGCTTGACCGGGCTCATGCGAAACGAGTATGGCTGCACATCGGGGTACCAAACTTGCGCAACTTCAGACACATTGGACGCAGTAGATTAGCCGTCTGGCTTCTACTGCTCTGCACCTCTGTGCCACTCCACCTGTTTTTCAATTCAGTGGTCTTCGCCAAACTTCAGGCCAACAACTACGCGGTCCTTCCTATCACAGATGATTGGTTCCATGGAGCGCCATATGACACGTCCAACTTTAAGAACCTCACGAAAGACGTTACCGAGGAAATGGTGCTAGAGATGGACAAATATCGGCCCAATCTTTCTGATGTCGTCTATCTAAAAAAGGACGGCACGATGCCGAGATACACGAATATCAGCACGTCGGATTGCTTTACCCAGTACGACAACCATTACGTCTCTGGAATGGGTAACGTTTATCTGGTGCAAGACTACCCTACAGTGTGGCGGAACAA